TATTATTTATATATATTATTAATTGAATGAATTTTTAAAGGCACCGAATTAATTTCCACGCATTATTCTTTCCCTCAAATCGAATACCACCATAACGTTTAACTTCATCATCACCATGTTCAGTACGTTCTTAAAAAATCTTCCCATATCTTTCTTGCCTAACTCACTCAGTCACTCAATTAATCAATCAATCATTCTCACTCTCTCTTTCTCTCTATCACTATCTCTATCACTATCTCTATCTTTATTATACTTTCTTACTGTTCATCTCTTTCCTACTTAAATCTTCATTCCTTCATTCTTTCCTTCCTTCCTTCCTTTTAAAAATATTCAAGAATTTTCGGACCAAACCACCAGATTTGAATCTTTCATTTTCATCATATTTACAGAAACTATTGTCAAAGCAATTGTTCATTACCATTTTCGCGTATCCACGATAGAGAATCTTGTACAAAATTTATTAAAAAAAAAAAAAAAAGAATCAAATGAAAAAATGATTATAACATTATTATTTTTTTTGTTGTTGAAAAAGAAATTCTACTACATTATTGAGAAAAATTATATTTATAATTCTATCTAAACGATTTAATATCCAATTACATTTGTAATAATATATATATATATTGTTACAAATCATAAAAAAAAAACAAAAAAACCATTGTTTCCATGCGGAATGGCAAAGATAATTTTCAAAAGCTTTGAACATTTCGTTCGAATATCACCGTGTTACTATATATATATATATTATTAATGATGTTTCGTTTTATTATCAACGAGAGCGGGATAGAAAAATCAAAGAAGAAGAAGAAGAAAGAAGAAGAAGAAAGTAGAAGAAAAAAAGAGAAATAATAGTACGAAGTAAAAATAAAATGGGATAGAGAATTAAAAATCGAGAAAAAAATTAATTAGAAAAAGAAAAAGAAAGAAAAAAAAGAACGCACACGGATATAATAATATTAATAATAATAATAATAATAATAATAATTGAAAAAAAAAACAAATTAGATCAAGTTCCTCTCCCCCTCGCCACGATAATCACACTACTTTCTATTTAACTCTTCTCTCTCTCTCTCTCTCTCTTTTTATTTTTATTCGTAATGAGATCATCGTTTGATTTTTAGTTTCCTCTTTGGATCTCGTCCTTTTTTTTTTTTTTTTCAAGCTTCCCCATCACCCTTTTTAACTTCTTATTTCTCCCTCGCCCTTTGCAATCCCTTCGATACGTAAAAGAAAATACAATGAATGCTTTCTATCTATCTATCTCACTCTCTCTCTCACTCTTATTTATTTAAAAAAAAAAAAAAAAAAAAAAAACAAAACCGTAATTCGAATCGTATCGTTCATATCTTTTTCGCACATATTTTCTTCTTCTTTCTGTATCTATCTCTCTCTTATTATTTCTATCAATCTTTTCGTTTTTTTTTTTTTTCTTTTTTACACCTTCGAGAAGGGTGCAAAACAAGGGCGAGGGGGTGATCGTATCGCAAAATACTAATGCTCTCTTTTTTTTTCGATGCTATCTTCTTTTCCTATTTAATTATTATTCGACCGGAACGTACACCACGGTGTTTTTATTAT